TTTGGGGGTAGGTTGTCATCAGTATGCTGACAATACTCAGTTCTATATATCATTGTCCAAATCTGGTGACGCAGTGGAGGTCCTAATAGCTGCCTGGCTGCTGTGGTTAACTGGCTAAGAGTGAAGAAATTGAAATGAAACCCTGAAAAAGAGAGGAGTAATGCTGGTTTGGAAGGTGGAAAGCTTGAAGGACTCCCCACTTTTGATGCATCTCAGCTGCTCCTTGCTGACTCACTTAAAAGCCTTAGGGTCATACCGTATCCAACTTTATTGCTGAAGAAGCAACTTAATGTAGCTGCAAAAAATACCTTCTTCCAATTTAGCCTTCCCTGTAAGATGGCCCCTTGAACTGATATGGCTGATCTGGACACCTGGATCCACACTACAGTGACATTGAGTCTAGATGACTATAATGCACTATACAGTGGTCTCCCCTCAAAATCAAATCAGAAACTCCAGTTGGTGCCATGGCTCTGTCTGCTTCGATACTTCCCCCAGTCAAAAAAAGACAGCCCCTTTGGGTAACAGTGCCATCCTATAAATGGCCCAAATCAGCTGTCCATACAGGTGCCTTCTCCATTGTGGCCCCCACCTTGAGAAATTCAGGATATCCACCCATTGTGGGCTTGTATAGACATTTCCTTGGGTGGGCCACCTTTTAAAATGAACATTTTTTTGCAGATTATTGAGATTCCCCCCAATACAAGAACTTCACCTCAATATGTAAGCATCTGCTCCTTTTTTTTAAAAGGAAGTTTCATCATTTATGTGGCTATACTAATTAAGAGTTTTATTAAGGGTTGATCTTTTAGCATCATTTAATAGTCTACTTCTAAACTGACAACTGTGTGATTCATTTTGAGCTGCTCTATGTTTTATGTTTCTATGCACTGGTTGGGTTTTTAAGGCTGTTTTAATTTTTTTAATTTTTATATTTACTAGAGTCTATTCTGTAAGGCACCTTGGGCAGGTTCTCTAGAAAGATGGCATCAAAAAGTTTTAAATAAATACTAAAGTCTGATCATAAAGCAATAGAAATAATGCTTCACTGTATCACTAGATTCCTTCACAATATCACGGGACATGGTATTCATAATCTTAGAGAAGCTGGTACAAGCTGCCTCAAGAAGGAACACTGCACACAGGAGAAATTACAAAGCACGTGTGTGTGTTAAGTGCTGTCAAGTCACTTCCTACTTATGGCGGCCCTATGAATTAGCAGAGTACACATACTGTTATTAACCAGCCAGTTTGGTGTAGTGGTTAAGTGTGTGGACTCTAATCTGGGAGAACCGGGTTTCATTCCCCACTCCTCCACTTACACCTGGCTGGATGAGCTGGGGCAAGGCATAGTTTTGTCAGAGGTGTTCTTGAAAAAAGAGCAGTTTCTGTCAGAGCTCTCTCAGCCCCACCTACCTCACAGGGTGTCTGTTGTGGGGAGGGGAAGGGAAAGGAGTTTATAAACAGCTCTGAGACACCTTTGGGTAGTGAAGGGCGGGGTATAAATCCAATCTCTTCTCTTCTTCTTAAAAATGTCTGTTTTAAGAACAAGGTACTGGATTTTTACACCAACTGAACTGACACGTTTGCCAGCTCAACCATATACACTATTGCGAGCCTGAAGTTGGCAAGTGGTTGGAAACTCATGGGGCCCCCCTATCTGATGAAGCCATGACCTCACTTCCAGTGTGACCAAGAAGTGAATTCATCACAGGGGTGATGTTCCAGCATTCAATCCTTGTTTAAGCATAGAGACCTGGGTGAATATTAGAGCATCACCTGACATTATGTTGTCACATCTGGGTTACACCAAAAGCGACCTCATGGTTTTAGTGTGGCAGTGATCATCCATCATATCATTGAGCATTTTGCCTCTACTACCCAGCTGACTAGTGGCAAGTAGAGCTGGCAGGGGTGGGAGGTTTCACATCAAAGTAGGGCTGCCAAGTCCCCCCGGGGGGCGGATTTCCCCCCGCTTTGGAGGCCCGATTTCCGCCGCGGTGGAATCGGGCCCCGGGGGAAACCCCACCCCGGCGTGCACGTCACCCAGAGGTGATGTGATGACGCCGGGCACGCTTGGGGCGGGGCCACAGCCATCTGGCGCAAGTGCCTCGTGAGAAATCGCCCTTGGTTTCCCTAACCACACATCTTGACAGCAGGAAAGGAAATTAAAAAAACACAAGAAACAAAACCACATCCACCATCTTTTCTAAGGTTTCTAAAAACTATACACTATCTAGCATGATTAAAGCCTCAAGATGAATTAATTTCCAACCCCCTCCACATCCTCTACCTTCAAGTAACATGTAATAGTTATTTAAAGATTGAAATGGTAAATTGGTGACATAAAAACTGCAAATGAAACCAACATCTGAAAAGTTATACAGGCATCAAAATAATAACTTAGTCAGATAGGAATTCTACAATTTTCAGCAATTTTCATTGGGTTAAAAGAAAACAAAAACATTATAAGGTGGAACAAACTGTGAGCTGTTTCCTGCCTTCCTCTGGCTTATGAAACCGCCCCCCCCCCCACACACACCATAAAGCTACTCATAAGAAGAACATGAGAAGAGCCCTGCTGGATCAGACCAATGGACTAGATCAGTTCATCTAGTCAAGCATCCTGTCTCACATGGTGGCCAACCAGTTACTCCTGAGCTACCTTCCATTACTTCAAAGGATATTGAGTGCCTTTATTCATAAGGAAGATTATCTGATTTTAGTTGATTTTAATGTCCTTTTTCGACAGTTGCTCTGGGCTTTTGGATCTCCCATACAGTGGTAACAATGTGTACTAGGAATAAGGTCTTGTGGAACTCAGTTGTATCTACAGGCACCGTGCCAGCTTTAGAGTCATTCCTACCACTATATTTGCTTGTTTTAATCCCATTTTAATTCTGCATCTCTGCACAGAATAAACAGTTCTTCCCTCCTCCATTTGATCCCTGCAACAACCTTGTGGCTGAGAGAGAGCCCAAAAGTAAGCTTCATGTCTGAGTGAGGACTTGAACTCAGGGTTCCCTGGTTCTAGATCAGCAACTACGGACTTCCTTGGTATATCACACAAAAGGTGCATTTACAAGGGTTTCATTCCCTACTCTTATCTGATTTTTAAAACTTTGTTCCCTAAAGAACTTCTAACATTTCAATGGCAGAAAATCATGCTGTAGATTTCATTTGGCATTTAGAACAGTAACTGCAAAAATGAATAGGGAACTCGAACTGTATGAAGAAAACTAATTGTGATAAAACCCGGTAATATAAATTCACCCTACAATTACATGTTTCCCTTTATCATGTTGGTTTAGAAACAAGTCCTACAGATTTCCATGTTTTTTATTCCCAAGTAATTGAGTCTTGTGCCAGTTTACCAGCTCAGTGAGATTTCTGCTGTGGTCCCAAGAACACTTTCCTGTGTAGTTAATCTCAGTTCAAACCCTTTAGTGTATTCGTGCTAATTAGAACTATTAGAATTTCATTCGATACCTGTAATCAAAATAGATATTTCTCAACATACATACTACTATTTTAAAAGATAATCAAAATAGATATTTCTCAACATACATACAACTACTATTTTAAAAGATTTGGTATGTGTGACATTGCTTTCACTGTCTGAGCATACTGTATTCAAATTAAATAAAGTATGAAGCAACAGTACAATCCCATCTTGTCCATGGGGTCGCGAAGAGTCGGACTCGACTGTGCGACTGAACAACAACAAAAAAGATGTTTAGCTGACCTCTAGTGGGGAAGATAGGTAATGCACTTCTGTAAGATCAAGATGGGTAGCCTGTTAGTCTGTCTGTAGTAGTAGATTGTTAGTCTTTAAGGTGCTACTGGACTCTTGCACTTCTGTAACAATTTGATATGTTTGCCTCTGAGAGTAAAAAGAATTAGCCTCTTCCAATCCGGAAATGCATGTATCCAGCCCATTCCTTCCACCAGCAGTGTCCCTAAGGTCCACTAATGGATAGATAACCAATTGTTAAATAGAGATACTAAGAATGCAGATGCTGCCTTTTGCACCACGGTATAGTGGAAAGTAAAAAGGTAAAGGTTCCCTTGCTCGAAAGCCAGTCGAATCCGACTCTAGGGTTGCGGTGCTTATCTCCGTTTCAAAGCCGAAGAGCCAGCGCTGTCCGAAGACGTTTCCGTGGTCATGTGGCCGGCATGACTAAACACCAAGGCGCACGGAACGCTGTTACCTTCCCACCGAAGTGGTACCTATTTATCTACTTGCAATTTCTTGCTTTTGAACTGCTAGGTTGGCAGGAGCTGGAACTAGAGATGGGAGCTTACTCCATCATGCGGCACCCGGGTCTCGAACTGCTGAACTACTGACCTTCCACAGCCTGCAGTTCAGCATTTTAACCACTTGAGCCACCGCAAAAAAGTAACTAACTACAATCTAGGGAAATGGCCAGCTTGGAAGAAGAAAGCAAAAGAAGAAGAAGAAAGTATTATAACCCACATTCTAACGTCTTGAGCATGGATAGAAGTTGGTTTTGCCAATTTCTGAAGAATTTAGCCCCATGGAAATATGCTTAGGACCACAGCATAAAGCTGTAGAGAGACCGTTTTTTAAAAAAAGGTGCCATGTCATGTGCACACGCATTTTATTTGACCACTGTCATCACCAATCAGAACAGGATTTGTAGAACCTGCAAATTGAAACTGACCATAGTTCTATGAGTGTGCATCCCAAGGGCAAGTGTGACTCTGTCATACTGCCTTCAGGCCTCTGAAAAAGACTAGTCTATATCTAGCCTAAGCTGAACTGAACTTTTAGCCATGTGAAAGCAATTCAGAGAATGTAAATACATATTCTTTGTACTCCTTGTGCAGGTCCTCAATGCATATCTGGCATCATTTGGAGATCAAGATATTTCTAATGCAAAACATATACAACAATATATGCTGGATTACACCACTGTTTTCAATATTTTATAAGGAAAAAAAACTTTTAAGAGATTTGAAGAACCAGAAATATTTACCTTCAGTTTTTCAATTTCACCTTTGTGTTCCTTCTTTAAGTGCAAAATAGCCGCATGGTATTCTGGAAAAGAATGAAACCACTTGTAAGGTCGATTATACAAATAAGACTGAAGTTGCAGTGTAAACCCGTTTGACAGCACAAGGCTATTCAAAATGAATCAGGTCTGGCTGTTGACAATAAAGGATGGTACACAGATAGAGCTGGTAGCATGGTCTTTTGTGCAGACACATTACAACACTGTAGCAGCCCAAAGCACTGGATTCGGCAAATCCATGTTTCCATTTCTTAATTCTTAATTAATTAATTAATAATTGATCCATTTCTTAATTCACTCTAAACTTTTGATCTGGTATTCATGACTAAAATAGTTGTAGAAACAAATATTTTCCAGAAATCTATACATATGCAACACATTTAAATGAAATTTGAAAAAGTGTGTACGCACATGAAAGCTCATACCTGGAATGAACCTTTGTTGGTCAGAAAAGTGCCACTGGACTCTAAATTTGTTCTACATTTAAATGACCTTTTATATAAATAGTTCTGTCCCTTCTCAAGCAATTGCCAACTACTACTGCCCATGTAAAACAGGGAAATGGGGAGTGCGTGCATGGAAAATGAGTGAGCAGCATCTAGGAATGTTAATGGAGTGTGGTGAACCATTTGTGTGAGGGCATTTTCATGCACAGGATCATTGAAAGGTATGCAGGAGCAAGTATGTGTGAGGAAACGGAACAGTACATAGCAGGTGTTGCCAAAAACAAGCTCATTTGCAATGAACTGCAGCATTTATGTTTGTTACTACTGCTATTTATTATCATTGTTAATGTTAGGAATAGTTTTAAGTGTCTAATATTGCACTAGGTGTTAGACTAGATAAAAAGGAAACAAGCCAATGCCTACAATATACTATAAAAACAAGGTAAAAGAGATAGGAAGGGAAATGATTAATTAACACTTATTTGGTGTAGTGGTTAAGTGCATGGACTCTAATCTGGGAGAACCGGGTTTGATTCCCCACTCCTCCACTTGCACCTGGCTGGATAACCTTGGGCAAGCCGTAGTTCTGATAAGAGCTGTTCTTGAAAAAGAGCAGTTTCTGTCAGAGCTCTCTCAGCCCCACCCACCTCACAGTGTGTCTGTTGTGGGGAGGGGAAGTGACAGGAAATTGCAAGCCGCTTTGAGACACCTTTGGGTAGTGAAGGGTGGGGTATAAATCCAATCTCTTCTCTTCTTCTCTTCTTCTTAGTGTTGGGTGCTAGTATTGACAATTACAGCCCAGAGATCTTATCATTTACATGACACACAAACACACACATACATGCACAAAAAGCGCTGTGCTGGAGGGAAGTCAGAGGAATGATTTTTGTGGATAGGACAAGCAAGTAAAGTGGGATCAGAGTCGAGGCAGTCTAGGGTTAGGGATTCCACTCCCAACCTTTGATGGGGCGCCACTGGTGCCAGTGTCAGAGGTGAGGAGTTTGGGGGTGCTCTTGGATGCCTCCTTAATGATGGAGGCCCAGGTAGCAGCCACTGCTAAGTCAGTCTTCTTCTATCTTCAGCTGATTAGACAGCTGGTTCCCTTCCTTAAACACAGTGACTTGGCAACAGTGATCCACATGATGGTCACCTTGAGATTAGACTACTGCAATGCTGTCTACATGGGGCTGCCCTTGACCCAAATCCAGAAGCTACAGCTGGTGCAGAATGCAGTGGCCAGGCTTTTGCTGGGTCTCCCTGTGCGGGAGCACATTCAGCATGCGCTGAAAGCACTGCACTGGCTGCCTATAGCATACCAAGTTTGCTTCAAGGTGCTGGTCAAGGGTCTGCATACCTGAGGGAAGATCTCATACCTGAGGGATAGCCTTTCCCCATATGTTCCTCAGAGAGCACTGTGTTCAGGGTCTCAAAATCCTCTGGCTCTCCCGGGTCCTAAAGATGCCAGGCTGGCTATGACCAGGGCTAGGGCTTTTTCTGTGGCAGCTCCGCATCTTTGTCGGATTCAATTTCAGTCAGCTCAGTCTAAACCAACCAGCCACGGCTTGTAGCACCAGGTAGCACAGTTCCTCAGGGCCTGTAAGACAGAGCTCTTCCACCAGGCATTCAATTGAGGAGCCACACCCAATAGTTGAATATAGGTTTAAGACCCTATGCCTTGGAACTATCATCGGCAGCCTGTGCCTTGGCAGCATAAATTGAAATTTAGTACAGGACTGAGATAATAGTTCTAAAATCATTGCTGACTGGACCTCCATTGTGACCGATTTCAATATTGTGTCCCACCATCGCATATGTAATATTGTACTAGCACTTTATAAATGTTTTATTAATGTTGATTTTTATTTGTTTTAATCTTTTTATGTAAGCCTCCCTGAGCCTGCTTCACCAGGAAGGGTGGGGTACAAATTAAATAAAATAAATAAATAAATACATTCTGAAAAGAAGGAAAAGTTTGAGAAAGAGGATTATTGAGAGTGAAGGACTGTGATACCTCAGTCAGAAGTAATTAATATACACCATTTTATTCACTGAAGAGACAAGTAACAAAACATCTTGTAACCAATACACGTCTTGTGCAAATAAAGCTTTATCTTGTTTATTGTTAACCCAGTCATATGCTGTTTAAAATATAAGTGTCTCATCCTCAGTGTTGAGAAATAAGAGTGATATTTGCTTTATGGATTTATATTTGCTGCCAAGCACTACATGAACTGTGCACACACCCATAGGCTCAAAGGAAGCTGTTCAAATTACTCAAATTCGAAGACTGGAATTAAATTCCTGGTGGCAGTATGAGTGAGAGAAAGCAACAAGAAATTTAAAAATACATCATACCTAACCCACACGAATTAAAAAAGAGGTAGCATGATAACATACTTCAGCAGTAGAGCGGAAAGGCAAATTTACCGTTTGAAATGATTACGAAATGGATTAAAAATAAACCACCAAGTATTACACTATTTTCATATTTAAAAAAATAATGTGGCACACTTAGGATACTACATACACCTCTGGTCTACATATCATTGAGAAGAACACTGAGTAGCAAGGAAGCATTTTTCGTATAAGAGAGATTGCACTTGTCTTTTTAAAAAACTTTTTAAACTACAAAGTTCAAAATTTGGACACCTGACATTACATTTTGTGAAAATCTACTTATGCTATTATCCCTATCTTTATTACAACAGTTATTCCTGCTACACTTCAACCTGATTATTAAGCACTACAACACACCTTATTTTAAAACATTTTATTTGAAAAGGTGTGTTCTTCCAAGCCCAGATTTGTATATGCTGCCTTAAAGGCAGTAAAATTAACATTATATCATTTATCAACTACCTTTTTCCTATCAGTGGCCTCCACCCATGGGACACGTGTGGGAGGGACATGTTAGCTTTTCTTTCGTAAACCGCAAGAAGAACAGCTCTTAGCTACTTGATGTGAAAAGAAGGTAAATAACAGTGCAGCCTTATGCAGACCTAATCCTGTCTAAACCAACTGATTTTCTCTCTTGAAAATCTATTTCAGTGTCTAGATACTTTTTTAAAAAAAAACAAGCCAAGCATTACTGCTAATGTAGTTGAAGCTGGTTAATTATCAATCAGTATCTAATAACATAGACACATGAATTATCTGTGGGGAAACCCTGGGTCCTCCAGCTCTTGAATGGTTCACAGTTCTGCACTAGGGGTGTGCAAAGAAGAAAAAGAAATGCTATTTTTTGGGTCTGACTATATTGAACCTGAAAAATATTGGTTTTTCCCAATATCCCAATATTCCCAAATCCCAATACTGGTATGGTATTTGGATTTGATAAATATTTGGGGTTCCCAAAATTTTTCAGCTTCATTACACTCTATGGGGATCATTACAGTCAAGGGTTCCCATCTCTCCCTTATAATAAAGCAGTAGTGGGGACCAACGTTCTAAAATGCCCACCTTTAGTGTTTGGCTGGAAGAACTGCCACTCAGAAGACACTGGCTGGGTTGACTGGCTGCTTTGTGCAAGGTCTTTTGCATATGGAAGCTGATTGGACTTCACTCCATTCCACACCTCAAACTCCCCCCCCCCCGCAAGGCAGTTGGAATTTTCAGTTGCATATGGGAACTACTGTATTCTGAGGTAACATATGTCCTCACTCACAACACATCACTTCCCCTTTAAAAGAAACAAACCCAATAACACAATCACGCCACACCACAAAGAAGACAGATCACACCACAAGCAGAATACCACAAGGCAAAAAATGATAGGAAAAGGTGCCAGCAGTCACCCCATTACTGCCACAGATGGTGTGATGTGTGTGTGTGTGGGGGGGGGTTGTAAAGACAGACAGGCAGATAAACGTTGGCTGATGGTTGCCAACTCCAGGGTGGAACTCCAGGACATAGGGTTGCCAACTCCAGGTTGGAAACTTCCAGGATATTTTAGGGATGAAGCCTGCTGAGGGTGGGGTCTGAGGAGGAGGAGGAAGAGGGGGACCTCAGACAGATACAATGCCATGCTGCCCACACTCCAGACAAGCTGTTGCCAGTCTCCAGGTGACAGCTGGAGAGATCTTAAAGCTTTGGTGCTACTTCAAAGTTCCCCAGGAGCCCAAAACAGAGTAGTGTTTTGGAAAATCTTTAGGAATTGTTTGGTGCATTTACGATGGGGCTCCTGGGGAACTATTGTTGCCAATCTTGGCCCAGCAGCCATCAAACCATTCTCTTCAACCCCCTGCTGTGCAGCTGACTTTCCCCTAGGGTTGCCAATCTCCAGGTGGGACCTGGAGATCTCCCACTGCTACAATTGATTTCCAGATGACAGAGATCAGTTTCCCCTGGAGAAAATGGCTGCTTTGGAGGGTAGACCCTATGACATTATACCTGCTGAGTCCTTCCGCTCCGCCCAATGCTGCCCTCTACAGAATCCACCCCCCAAACCTCCAGGTATTTCCCTCCTTAGAGCTGGCAACCCTACATTCCCCTCAGTGCCTGTTGGTAGGCAACTAAGCTTGGTCCTGTCACCTACTTTGGCCTTTGGGAGAAAACACATTGGGGCCAGTCCTGATAGGGTT